CTCTTGCATGTAAAAAACATAACTTGGATATGAAGTAAGCCAGAATTTCTCAAAGCCTGGTCACTAGGGCAGTAGTAGCATTGGTGTCTCCAGGGAAATGAGAAACATGGGTTCTCAGCTTCCATCCAGATCGACTCAGAATCCACGGGATTGGGGACCAAAATGATTTTCCCAGGTCATTCGGGTGTATGCTCACGCTTGAGAACAATCAATGGATAACACAAGATTAGACATGACGGTAGGATTTTAAAGAAAGATTTATTTATTTTTAGTTCATGTATGAGTGTTTGCCTGCATGTATGTATGAATACCATGTGCATCCTTGTTGCTCTTGGAGCCAGAAGAGGGTGTCAGATTCCTAGTAATTGGAATTAGAGGAGCTTGTGAGCTGCTATATAAGTGCTAAGAAAACTAACCTGGGTCCTCTACAAGATCACCAAATGCTCTCAGCCACTGAGCCATCACTCCAGCACACACACACACACTTACGCACACAAACACACTGCCTCCTGTTTGAAAGATAAAGTCTTATTATGGAGTCCATCTTTGTCTGGAAACTTGGTGTCATTCTCCTGCCTCAGCTTCCCAAGTGCTAGGATTCCAGGCATGTGCCACCACACCTGGCTATGTTATAGCAAGCCCTACGCAAGCGCAGTGAGTACCAGGAACACAGGAAGCTGGTTCATCTTGTATAGCAGACCTAGCACTCAAGACAGCTTGCAGGTCATAACAAAGGTTTCCAAATTTCTGAAAAACGAAGGCGTGAGTGCATATGTAGGATAGCCAAAAGGTGAAGGAGAGGTAGGGAAAGCTTTCATGTAATCAGTAATTAAATTGAATCGTTAGATCCAATCCCTACCTCCCACAAAGCAAACTATATCTGACGTGAAAGCTAGCCATATATCTGTGCCTTGCTCTCATGAATGACTTTTGCAATAAAAGCTTTTTAAAAATGTCTCAAAGTTCACATATACTTTTTTTTTTTAAAGACACCTGTTTCAGTAGGGCACAGAGACACAGGCCTGTAACCCCAGCATTTGGGACTTTAAGGCAGGAGGATTAGAAATTCAAAGTCATTCTCAGCTGCTTAATGAGTTTCAAGGTCAGCTTGGGCTAATACATCTATTTCTTAAGGTAGGATAAGCTAGCACAATGGGGATATTCATATATTTAAAGAGAGTAATAGCTAACTGAGAAAAGCTCAACTGTCTAAAACAGGATATATAAAAGTAAACCTTTATTATCTAATTATAGCAGAGCCTTAGTTTTCTATTGTGATATGACACCATAGTCAAGATGACTTACAAAAGAGAGTGTTTAGTTTGAGCTACAGTTTCAAATGTTACTGTCCATGATGGCAGAGCAAAGACATGAAGGCAGGGACAGCTGAGAGCTTACATCTTGATCTGAAAGTAGGAGGGAGAAAGGGGGAGAGTGGAGGTAGGGAGAAGAGACTGAAAATGGTGATAGTCTTTTGAAACCTCAAAGCCTGACCCTGGTCACACACCTCCTCCATACCACCACAGAAAACCATACGTTACTTTAAAAACTTATTAAATGTAGAAAAATATAAAAGAAAGACAAAAATCACTGATAATGACAAATCTAAAGCCATGATTACATTTGACTTTAGTACCTTTGGGCTTTTGTTATGCCTACATACATAAAGAAATATATTTTTTTAGATTTATTTTTATTTTATATGTATGAGTATTTTGTCTGTATTTATGTAAGTGCACTGTGTGGGTAAGTGGTACCCTTAGAAGCAGGAAGAGAGCACCAGATCCCTTGGAACTGGAGCTGAGGATGACCGTGAGTCACCTTGTGGGTACTGAAAACCAAATCTGGGTCCTCTCCGAGAGTAGACAGTGCTCTTACCTGCCCAGTCATCTTTCCAGCATCCTAGAGGTTTCATTTTAAAACACAATTAAGGTCAAGCAGTGGTGGCACACACCTTTAATCCCACCACTTGGGAGGCAGAGCAGGTGGATCTCTGTGAGTTCAAGGCCAGCTTGGTCTACAGAGCGAGTTCCAGGACAGCTAGGGCTGTTACACAGAGAAACCCTGTCTCGAAAAACCAAAAACTAAACAAAAAAAAAAAAACAGGATAAGATCACATTTTGTTTCACTTTCATCTCTAAGCAATACATTTTTAGATTTTACTTTTCCTTACCTCCCATTGTGTGAAAAACTGTGTCCACAGTGATGATTCTCCTCTCTGGATTGTGGTCTTCAAATTTGAACGTACATAAGTCACCAGAATATCCTTTCACACACAGATGTCTGGCATCTAGAAAGTCTGACCTAGCAGGCCTGTGTAGGGCTCAGGCATTGCCTTAAGAGCATCTCTTAGGCACTTGAGGCTTAAGCTCTCCTGGTCATGTTTTCTGTAATCACACTTTGGAAGCTGTTGGCTTTGGGACAGAAGATCTTGAGTTTTTGAGTCCACTAGGTTATAAACTGCTGTCTTCACTTGTAAGGTGGCAAGACTGAGATGGTTAAAAGGAAATAAAGAGTACTGTGAATTGTCACAAATTGTAAGTTTGTATCATCTCATCTTGAAACACTTTCAACAAAGCTAAGCCGTCCATAACACTCCCCCTATCCTTTGAAAAGTAATTTTCTTTTGTTGACTAACTTCTTTAAAAGCAAAAAATAAGATTTAAATTGCTGAAAGATTTTGTAAGCAAATGCCTGACTTCCTGCCTACTGAAATCATTACGTTCTCCAGGATTATGACAGACACATCACTGACTTTTGTGCTCTCAGCATTTGGGAGGCAGAAGCAGGAGGACTTCTGTGAGTTTGAGGCCAGCCTTGTCTACAGATCTAGTTCCAGGACAACAAGGGCTACATAGTGAGACCCTGTAATGAAAAACAAAACAAACATATACACATGATAAGCCACAAGAAAAATGAGACATGTATGTAAAGTGTAAAGGTTGAAAGACATTAAAAGATAATTTGATAATGCAAATTAGAATAGGAAACAAATTAGGAACAAGACTTTGAACTCACCAAGATAGAATAGATAATGAAGTATTTTCTTTGAATTTGTCAAATGCAAATAGACTACTCTATGTTATTTTGTTTCTTTTGTGATTTATGTGTATAAGACTTTTTTGTTTTTGTTTTTCATGACAGGATCCCACTACTATGTAGCCCTGACTATTCTGGAACTCTCTCTGTAGATGAGACTGGCTTGGAACTCACAAAGATCAATGAGATAACATTAAGGATCCTCGAGTAACCTGGCAGTGGTGGCTTACACCTTTAATTCCAGCACTCGGGAGGCAGAGGCAGGCGAATCTCTGTGAGTTCGAGGCCAGACTGGTCAACAGAGTGAATTCCAGGATAGGCTCCAAAGCTACACAGAGAAATCCTGTCTCAAAAACAAACAAACAAACAAACAAATCATAGAGTAAAAATGGTCAAAAAAAATGAGAATGTAAGGACTATGTGTTTCACCAGGAGGTCGCAAAAAAAAAAAAAAAAAAGATACAAAGTTGTGTTTCAGAGAACTACTGTACAAAATTCCTAGCTTTCATTGAGCTGAACTATAATATAGTTCCACACTCAGAAAGCACACGGTGGCTGTTGGCTGTGGGGAAGTTTGCCTTTTGATACTAATAGAGTCACTGAAGGAGTTGTGGGAATATTTTGAAATAGCAACAAGACATGCTTTGGGCCATTTTCAGCATATTCAGATGTTAGGATATTAAGTGAACAGTGAGATATGCCCACAGCACATGAAAAGCTCTCCATCCATCACAATGCAAACTACAAGAACTCTAAGTTCTCAGGGCTTTGGACCACCCGGCTCCAGCCTCTGTACTGCCCACCCCCCCCTCGGACTTCCCATGCTGTGTACCAGGAGAAAGGAACTATTACACTAGTGTTCTCTTAAATCTTCTCTATTTTTTACTTTTTGATTAGACATGTAAATCCTAAATCAGTACTTGAAAAAAAAAGGTGCTTTTAAATACAATAAGTTCAATAATTGGATAGCAACTACATTATCTTTTATTTTCTTGAAGAGAGGAGAATACTTACTGGGCAGGAGCTGGAACCAAACTAACAGAAGTGTGGAGGTGGAACAGACCAGTGTGTGCAGGGATCTCACCCGTCTCTGTAAAGAAGCAACCCACCGCAGACTTAGTTACTGAGGAAACTAACTGGGGCATCATTTGTTCTTCCTTGTGAAACACATTGTCAGTTTCTTTCTTTCTTTCTGGTTTTGGTTTTTGAGACAAGGGCTCTCTACGTAGCCCTGGCTTTCCTGGAACTTGCTTGGACTCAGAGATTTGACGGCCTCTGCCTGTAGGTGCTGGGATCAAAGGTCATGACATCATGCCTGGCATCCTCTTTGTAGGCTGACCAGACTGAGCTATGTGTCCTGTGTTTGGTTTTAGGGGAAAGGAAAAACAAAACAACAACAAAAAGAAACATATTTCCCTTCATACCTAGTAAACAAATTGCTATATCCTTTAAGTATTAAATAATTAAACTATACAAATATGTTGAAATGAAAGTATCTGCTGATCTTCAAGATGCACTTTAAGGAAAAAAATGAAGTGTCCATGTATACATTTAAAAACATCAGCTGTGTAAACTGGGCACACTAAGTCCTACCACTTGAAAAGTTGAGGTTGAGGCAGGAGGATTGAAAGCTTGAGGCCAACCTGGGGAGACACCCCCTACCCCCACCCTCCACCCCACCCCAGTGCACACACTTCCATACACACACACACACACACACACACACACACACACACACACACACACACTTTCTAGAAGGATATCTGAGACAAAGATTTTTCTAGCTGCTACCATTTGATGTTGGAACTATGCATAGAGAAGTTTGCTGTTCGTTTTCTACCCCTTGGTTCTGCCTCTGCCTCCTGAGTGCTGGGATTGAAGGCGTGCATCACTACACCCAGCTAGAAGAATAACTTAAAGCTGACATTAAATGATAATAACCATTGTGCTCTGGTATTCAGCTTGTCCTAGGCTTTTTGATCTTTCTGCTTCCATGGGCTCCGCTGTCTCTCCGGGCCGTCGTCATGCCCATACATGTATATTCTGGACTTCTCCTCTTCGGAACAGTGATTGCTACAGTCCTCATGGGAGTGACAGAGAAGCTGTTTTTTGTCCTGTAAGTCTGTAGCCTTCTTTCTTAATACTTAAGCTAGAAAATGTTAAGTATTTATTCACTGGGGAAACATAATATAGATAGCTATTTCAAAAGATTTACTTTTATTTTTTTGCTTGCATGAGTGTGTCTACTACACACATGCTGTGCTCTCTGAGGCCAGAAGAGGGCATTAGATCCCCTGGAACTGGGGTTATAGGCTGTTGTGAGAAGCCATGTGGGTGCTGGGAAACAAACTTGGGTCTTCTCAAAGAGCAGCAATGCTTTTAACTGTTGGGCCATCTCATTAGCTCCATAAATAGTCATTTTATTATTAAAATTTTAAGTTTAAATTTTTAAATACAATTTATCATCCCATAAATATATATAGTAATGACTAAAAACAGAATTATCGGGGTTATGAGCTGTGCATTCATCTTTTGGGGGTGTATATTTTTAAGCTAATTGTAATTATAGTATGTATACATTTTTGTTTGTACCTTCTTCCAGGTTTTAAGTGACATGAGGTATCCTAAGTGCTATACGTATTCTTTTCTTACTTGGAATTTTAGAGTATTCTACAGTGTGAATCACAGTATAACCTACATGTCTCTTTAATGCTGTGCTATAAGGACATTTATGTTGAATCTGTACCATGGTTCACTGTGAGCAGGTGGATTCAGTGTATGCTGTGTGCTCGTAACTGGGTCCACTTTCTCTTTCTTCATAGGAAAAATCCTTCATACCATTCATTCCCACCAGAGGGTGTTTTCACAAATACCCTGGGCCTTCTGATTCTGGTATTTGGAGCCCTCATCTTCTGGATTGTCACCAGACCACAGTGGAAACGTCCCAGAGAACCCGGCTCTATCCTTCTTCAGCCAAATGGAGGCGCAGAGGGAATGCAAGGCGCCATGGCAATAAGCTCCAGCCACAGCCCAGACTCAGCAGAAGCAGAGTTAAGCACCGAGGGGGCAGCCAGGAAAAGAACCCTTGGCAGCCTTGATGATGCTGGCCAGAGATCCACCATGTGACATGGACAGCCATGTTAACTTCTCTTCCAAAGTCAGACCTACCATTCAGCTTCTCCTGCCTAGTCATAGGCAATTTGGGTTCATAGTGCCAATATATATTGTGGTCACCAGGGAGGATTTCCTGAGAGCGATTATATTGTGAGGCCTGTGAGCTTGCCAAATGTAAAAGGACATGATCAATGTAAGTTGTGATTGTTTCCTTTGTATTCTTGAGCACCCGAGCATTGGATGCACCTGCCAGCGGCTTGTTTGCTGAGCTCACCCTTGGCCTCTGGCTATGCCCCATTAATTCAGCAATTTCAGAACGAGGTAGAACCAGTCCTAACTTTTAAAATAAGATCACAAATACCTGGAACAATGTTTGGATCCTTATGCCACACAACTGTTGTGAGTAAAACTTGTGGGGGGGAGCGGCACTTTAGGAAAATAATTAGTTCCCTTTTCCTCATGGTGGCCTCTGATCCCTCTCCAGCTAATTAGGGCTCACCTGGGCCCTGAACATGAGTGTATTCATGAGGGTGTTTTGGAGCAGTTGCTGGGTCAAAGACAGCTAAAGAGATCTCTGGTGAGACCTGGAAGATTTTCTTACACACAGCCCAGTGCCTAGACTCCCAGGAGCTGGTTACTTCACAGTTCAGCTGAACTTCAAGCAATGCAAACACGCCTGTGCTCAAGCTTTGCATCCACACACCGTGACGAACACTTTCTATCAAGTTTCTGTTTTATTTTCCAAAGTGCTGCCCTGGCTCTTACTATGTGCCAGCACTCTCCTACTAGGCACTTTACAAATAAACTAGCTCCTTCAGTCTCCAGACAGACGCTGTAGACAGGTACTGTTACTAGCCCCGTTTTTAAGTGAGAGATCTGAAGCTTGGAAAGGTTAGTAACTTGGCCCAACATCACATAACTCTTAAGCTGATGGAACTGACATTCAGATCCCAGCAGTCTGGCTCCCCTGTCTGTGATCCTACATTTCACTATGCTCCTTTCCCATTTATACTTCTTGGCAGCACTGTGCTCCACCCCTGAATAAAGCCGCTGAGTGGAGTTGTTACAGGACGCTGCCTTGCCCTTGGTCCTCTTCCAAGGGGACCCTTTACAGGGTGGGAAAGGCGCCATAAAGTCTTATATGAAGACCTTGGGGCCTCAGCCACTGCCAGCAAGCCAAAGCCTGCCTCGATGTCCTTTTAATCTTAACAGAGCATCTATCTGTCTTGCTGATAAGAAGATCTGGGCTAGGACAGGCACAGCCTTCAACATTGAGTGTTCGTTCCTCACAGTCTTAGCTGCTGTCTTTCCCGGGGGCCATAGGCAGTTTCTTTCCTGATTTTTGTTCTTAGTAGAGGACTGAGATTCAGTGACCAGACTTCTGTCTCAGCTCTGAGGAAAACCTGCAGTAGTAACTGGGGAAATGACGATTCATGGAGATTGGTAGATTTTTTTTCTCTCTGTTTTCTAATTTAAACACTTGGGCATGGATATGTGAGCCTATAGTTCCGGCTGCTTGAGAAACTAATGTTCAAGGATCAGTTCAAAGCCAGCCTAGGCATCATAGTGAACCCTTCTCTTGGGTTTTTGATGGAGTCTCTAGAAACCCAAGTTGGCCTTCCTCTTTGTGTAACCAAAGGTGACTTGAACATGTAGCCTTTCTTGCCTTCACTCTCCAAATGCTGGATTACAGGCATGTGCCACCAGCCACCAGCCACCAGCCACCAGCCACCAGCTACCACGTCTTAGCACAGCTCTGTCTTTTAAATAAAAAACAAAGACAAAACAAAACACAAGAATTTCAATGCGGAGAAAAAAACTTATAGTTTACAGCAAAATATACTGATATGTAGTGAAAATCCTTTAAGGTAATATGATTATTTTCATAGCCAGGTGTCGTTCCAGTGATTCCACACTCAGGAGGCAGAGTCAGGTGGATCTCTGAATTCAAGGCCAGCCTGGTCTACAGAATGAGTTCCAGGACAGCCAGGGCTGTTTCACAGAGAAACCCTGTCTCAAAAAACAAAACAGAAATATGGTTATTTCCAAAGACTGTACAACTCAGTCTATCAGAACTCTTAAACTTCATAACAATTCAGAATTCCCTCAATGCATCATTGCTTTCTTCTTATTTAATTAATTCTATTTCCAAAATCAGTTAACAGCATCAGAAGGACTATGAGGGACCAACTCAAGGTCACTCTTCAGCTAGATAGAGAGTTCAGGCCAGCCTGGGATACATGATACCTATCTCAGAAGTCCAATAAATAAATAAAGATCCTATGTGTGCTAAGTAAGAGTAATTGCATGCTTACACCAAACAGTTTGCTAAATGATGACTCACCATAAAAAACTGGGCCAAATCCTGGGGTTATTTTGGGGGGAGAATAGGAGGCTCACAACTGAGCCCCAAGAATCATGGCTACCTTTCCTTTCCTCATAGGCCCACAGAGGCTATCAGTGCAAGGCTAATTATGTGGCACTATAATAGCTCCATTGCAAGTATTAGAGCACCCCTCATTTCAGCCCTCTATTTTCTCTCAAGTGGGCTAATGTGAGGGTAATATTATAGGTACTTCTTTTCTTTCTTCTCCAGCTTTTATGAAAGGATGCATAGCACAATGTATCGGAAAGATCTTTCTATTTGAGACTCTTCTTTTAATGGGCTCTTTATTACAATGATAATTATACCTTTATCTTTCAAAAGCCGATGTTTCCTGCCTAAAGCATCTCCCCCCAAAAATATCACATTAAAAAGTCTGCAAAGAATAGGGGAGAAGAGAGCCTTGGGTATCAATTCCAAACAGTGATTGAAACCTCCCCAAATAATTATAGCTTGTATCCTCTACAGAGATTATCTGGCTTGGCTTACCCCATAATCTAATTTCAGGAAAGAAAGCTTTATTTCAACACTGATCTATGTCAACATGAAAGCCTTCTCTTTCCCAGAGCTTGGCGAGAAATTGAATATACTATGTTGAATTAATGTCATCAAAAGCATACAGCTTTCCTGTGCTCCTGTCAAACCAAGCCCACCCTCCACTGCACTTTCTCCCCGTTAGCAGTGCGGTTTTCTTTGAATCTGTGCACTTAGAATGGAATGATAGATTAAGGCAAGCATACTTTTTAAGGACTGGTGACAAGTAGTTTCTGTTTTCTAAAGGACAACAGCATAAATTGTATGTCTCATTTTAATTAAGCTTTCTTCCCTACGGAGCTGGAAGTCCCAGTGCACATTCATTGACCATGGCTTCACATGGGAAATGCAAAGGAGGAAGTTATGCCTTATGCCAACTTTACTTGTAATGTGATGGATTATTTAGCTTTAGATGTCCATCTTTTTTTTTTTTGTAACTTCAACAGGAAACTACTATAACTTCTAGGTCTAAAAGTAATGTAGAGGAGAAAATGACTGTTCTTCATCTATGGGCTAGCTACCTGAACACTTTAAGTGGGAAATAATTCTATCTATAAATTTGTCCTTGTATCTCAGGACATTGATGGAAAAGTATTATCTTGACTATTTTATAATTTTTAGGGAATATATGCATCTATTTTTCTTGACCTTTAATATAGCAATAAAAAGCGACTTTTAAGCTTTTTGTGTGTGTTGTCTGTTTGTCCTGGGGTAGTGGTTATAATCATTTTTCTTGAAGTTTCTTTTTCATAATTTATTTTTTAGTTGTTTTTCAATTGGGTTACGGTGAGCTTTTTCTATACACTCTGAGTACCTGTCTTTCTATGATGCTGGAGGTAGTGAGACTGTCAAACCCATGTCATTCCTTTCCGCGCAGGATCTGAGTTGGAGCCCATGGCAATGTGGTAGGGTGCTGCAGACCCTGCCAGTAAATGGGAAGAAAAGCACAAACAAATCTATCCAATGCAGTGCTTGTTAAATAACTGCTCATTGTAACTTTAAAAAATATTTTTGAATAATTGTATGCCTTTGTGTCTGTGTGGGGGGTGTGAGCTATTTATAATTCTTGGTACTAGTGAAGAAACCTTGAAAAAGCCAACATTAGAAGAAAATCTGTTGACTTCATCCCGTATCTTTGCTCTTGCTGAGGTCACTACTTTCTGGTGTTTCAAGGTCCCTCTCTGTCTGGAGACTTCGTGTTTACTATTTATTTCAAGGAGGTCTTCTGCAGCAGCAGTATGTGCTCTTAGGGGCTGAGCCATCTCTCCAGTTCCATCAATGCCTGGATCATTTCAAAATGGATTCCTATTGATGGCCTTTTCACTTGATAATGGACTGCATCTAGCTCCTTTTTAGTTTATCTACCAGTTTACCTTGCATTTTGAATATCATGAATAGAAACTTGAAGAGACTCTAGGTTCTGTTGCTTGCCCCTAAAGCAGTGGTTCTCAGCCTGTGGGTCAAGACCCCTTTGGGGTCACATATCAGATATTTACATTACAATTCATAACAGTAGCAAAATTATAGTTCTGAAGTAACAATGAAATAACTTTATGGGTGGGGGTTACCACAGCATGAGGAACTGTATTAGAGGGTCACAACGTTACCAAGGTTGAGAACCACTGCTCTAATAGGCAGTTACTAAGCAGTGGGTGAACTCTCTTATTTTAGTCTTGGATGAGTTGCTTGGAGTCTACCTCACATATATGTTGGATAAGGGCCAAGTGGAGTTTATGTGCAGAATTTAAAGTTCTTGTACTGTCAATCTTGGTTTGTCAATTTGGGAAACACGAAATATTTTTGTTTTATTTATTTTAACAGAAATTTTCTTTTATTTATCTTTATTATTTTTAATTGTGCGTACGTACGTACGTGTGTGTGTGTGTGTGTGTGTGTGTGTGTGTGTGTGTGTGTGTGTGTGTAGGACTGTGCACATGAATGCAGGAAGCCAGAAGAGTTGGGTCCCCTGGATCTGAGTTACAGAAAACTGAGCTGCCTGAGGTGGGCACTGGGGACCGACCTTGGCTCCTCTGCCAGATCAATGCTCACTCTGGATTGCGGAGTCATCTCTCCAGTCCGGAGAGCTTTTTGTTTTAATGGCTGGAGAATGATTGTATTGCTTTGCTTGGAGAAAAGCTGATCCAAACAGCACTGCTCGGGGTGACCTTCCAACTTCTAGCTGAGCCACAGACCTCGTTTATTACCTAATTTAGTTCTCATCAAACCTGCTGCCTGGGAAAGAGGGCTGACTTTAAACATCTTGCAGGATCAGGTGAGAGTCTGACTTCCATTGTAAGGTAGACACAGGCAACAGAATGCTAAACAACTGTTGCCTAGGCTTACAGATGTCAGCCCACTGGAGCTTCAATGGCTGAACAAGGGACAATTCCTCGTAGAAGAATCGGTACAGAACACAGACAAAGCCAGCTCACAGGGAAATAGGTGCACAGAACTAAATACCTCACTACGAGGTAAAGGCATTTTTAACATGGCCTCTGAGAAGTTTATTTCTGGCCATTTGGGTACTTGATCTACAGGAAGCAAGCCATTCAATTTTCTCAACGTTTAATTTAAAATTAAAACTGTGAGACAAGCCGAGTGGTGGTGGTGCACACCTTTAATTACCAGCACTCGGGAGGCAGAGGCAGGGGAATCTCTGTGAGTTCAAGACCAACCTGGTCTACAGAGTGAGTTCCAGGACAGCCTCCAAAGCCGCAGAGAAATCCTGTCTCGAAAAACAAAACAAACAAACAAACAAACAAACAAACAAACCCTGTGAGACAAGTAGAAAGACTGGCGGAAGGAACACATGCTCTCTGTCGGATTCAACGTTTGCTGTTGCTGTATTTCCCTCCTCTCTTTTTCTTTCCCTGTCCCTGCCGCCTCAGCTCTGAAGTCCAGTCACAGACACAACACAGCTTCATCCAGAAACTTCAGCCTGCACCTCTCAGGAGTAAACAGCTGCGTGGTGTTACCTCATATCCACTTGAGGAAAACATACAGGTCGTATCCCAGAAGCTATCATGAGACAGGATGGTTTTCATTTTCACTCCCTTGCGAAAGGCAAGAAGGTGAAGCAGAAGGAAAAAGAGACAGAAAACACTGTGGTGGCTTGGATACATCCCCTGTAAGCTCGGATATTTATTTTTCCCCAACATAGTATTTTTATTGATTTTTTTGGAATTTCATACAATGTACCCTGATGGCACTCACTTCCCATTCCTTCCAGGTCCACCCTGCCACCCTTGGCCCTCCAGAAAACAAAAAACAGAAACAAACAAACCTACCAAGTCCAATTTGTGTTGCCCATATACTCTGGAGCATGGTCAAACTCCCAGTGGCCGGCCTAAAAAAAAAAAGATGGGTCCTTTCCCATCTGCATCCTACCCCTGCCAGAAGCCATCTACATTTCAGCATCTTTATCACAATTTTTTAAGGACTCTCTTCAATAACTTCATATCTGAACTATCCCCCCTCTTTTATTTGTGTGTGTGTGTGTGTGTGTGTGTGTGTGTGTGTGTGTGTGTGTGTGTGTGTGTGGGAGGGAAGAGGTTGTTACAGAAACCTTCGATGTCTCTCATTCTGTTTGTTATGAGTCTGCATTCACAGACACCACCGCAAAAGAAACTTCCCTGACCTTGGCAGCCGGCGGCAGCAGCATGGATCATGGACCACGTCAACATGGTTTCTGGCAGCCACGTGGATCACGAAAGTCTTTCGAGGAGACTTAATCCAAAAAATGAATCTTTCTTCATCTCGGATATCTCGTTGTTGCTCCGAGCTAGGGTGATCCTGCGGTTAGGCAGTACTCCCTAGTGCAGGACCTGCGCGAGCTCCACGCTGTTAGACCTCATCTTGCTCTAGTTGCGGGCCGCCCTGGCCACGCCCACACGCTCTCTTCCTCCCAGCAGGGCAAGCGGCAGCAACAGTTGGACCTGTAGGCCAAGCAGTAGCATCAACCTAGTGGGTGATGACTGGATGAGGCAGGCTCAGCGGTGGCCAGAGGACCAGCTCTACTTGGCAACGGCATGATCCTTTGTCTGCTGTGGCCACACTCCCTAACCTGTTGTAATGCCACGTCTCTATTTCTGCTTCTCTCTGCCATGTGTGCTGCTCTGTTCCACCATCTTTTTTTCTCTCCTATCTAAGCTCATATATTTGAATGCTTAAACACCAGAGCGTGGCACTATTTGAAAGGATTGGAAGGACAGGAGGCACGGCCTTATTGGAGTAGCTGCGGCCTTGTTGGAGGAAGCGAGTCACTCTGGGTGGGATCTGAGGTTTCAGAAGCCTGTGCCAGAGTCAGTCTCACTCTCTCTCTGCCTATGAATCAGAGTGTAGAGCTCTCAGCTCCTTCTCCCCAGCCATGTTCCCCACCGTGATGATAATGGACTAAACCGCTGAAACTCTATGTGAGCCCCAATTAAATGTTTTCTTTTATAAAAGTTGCCTTGGTCATGGCGTTTCTTAGCAGTGACAAGAAAAAGATTCAGTGAAACTAATATTGTGATTACTTCAGAAAGGACACGTATGGCTTAGAGCAGCAGTGAATATCACACCATTTTAGCATGTCATGTTGGTTGGCAGAGCAAATTATCTTTTTTTCTTATGATTATGCATGTGTGTGATGCGCGCGCGCGTGCGCGCGCGCGCGTGTGTGTGTGTGTGTGTGTGTGTGTACTGGTGCACACATATGATACTTGGAGGGGAGGCCAGGGGAGGCTGTCAGGTGTTCTGCCTTGTCACTCTGCCTTGTTCTTCTGAGCCAGGATTTCTCACAACCTGGAGCTAGGCTGATAGTAATTCCCCAGTGTCTGACCCACAGTAGTGGGGTTATAGGCAAGCACATTGGTACCTTCAGCTTTTCACGTGGTGCTAGGACACAAACCCAATGGCGAGGAGTCTTACCCACCAGGCCATGGCATGGCAAATAGATTATTCTAAGTTCCAGGTTTAGGACTAGTCTCTCTAGTCTCTGTCTTCAAATATTGTAATTTTAATCAGTCCAGAATCTCGTAAGACGTACTCAAATATCCCACCCCACTTTTATCTTGCTAAGACCAACTTGCCCTCTGACATGGGGATCCATAGATATTGGCCAGGAAAAGCTTTCTGTGTCTCTGCCTCTCCTTTGCTCTTGGTGAAGTGTTGTTCCTCGGGGTGGCAGAACCCAGGTCCCAGCATTACCCAGCCTCACCAGGGTAGACCTGGCAGCTCCTTGTTTCTCTTCCCTGACTGTAGGGAGACACCCTAGCCCCACCCAATAGTCCTGGGAGAAGGACCAGGTGGACCTGGGACTCGCCCATAAGGGCGTGGTGAAGGAAAGCCAGGGTGACGTAAGGGAGCTTCTTAAGGGGCTGCATGTGGGGACCCTGGCCCCTTTTGTTTTGGCCATGCTTGCTGGGTTCTATAACCTAGCTCTGGCCTGTGTTTTGTCCTCGTGTTTTCTTGAATAAAGAGACTTTAATCATAACACTTGACTTCTACACTTGTTGAGATTTGAACTTGCAGATTTACCAGCTATACATTTGTTGAATGTTCATGCACAATTAACCAAGATAAGAAGACTAGCATAGCAAGAGAGACAGGAAGTAAGGTGAGGGAGAGAAACTAGTGTGAGGCAGCCAGAGCTGTTCTGGAATGGACAACAAGCTATGGGAGTGGCCCTAAAGTTAACTAAATC